GTCCATTTTTCTGGGCAATTCCTTTTTTGGAGAATCCAATTTTGTAAGACATGAAGTGCACTGATCACTGGGAGCAAAGAAGACAACACAACTACTCTCTTTGCTGTCTGTGCATGCACTGAATAGCAGACACCAGCAGACACTGAAAGAGGACACCAATGAGGAGGATGTGCCTTGCCGTCCACACGGTGATTTGGGTACTGGAGAGCTCAGAGTGTCCTTCATGTACTTCCTCACAGTTTATGTATCATGGCAACTGAAATGTGAGTGGTGTGGTTGGGAGCTGGTGTTATTTAACCAAACTGTGGCAACCGAAACTGTGTCAGAACCTTGCAAAATGAGTGGGTTGCAGATTTCTTCCCTCTGACTCAGGATCTCCTAAGTGACCCATGCCCAGCAGCTGCTCCCAGAGCCCCAGATTCAGGGGGTCTGGAGCAGAGGCATAGGGAAAAACTGTAGACCTCTACAGCTCTTTTTTTATTTCCTGGCTGAAATTCACTTAACTTGTTGTTTCTTTGCATTGTCTATAAAAAATAAGGGAAGGGTCTATAGTGATCTTGATAGGAATGGAGAAACTGGATATGCTTTGATTCCTGACTGGCCCTATACCTGTCTGTTACATATGGAAAATGCACCCCCTTGTGGTTTATGTACAGAGGCTGGATATGGAGACTGGAGATAAATGTCTAGTTTTCCTCATGAGTATATTTCCTATTGAATCTGGAAGGTTAATCAGAAATGGATTAATAGTCCTAGATCTCCAGTGCAGATTTTAATCTCTCTACAACCTGATGATGCCAGGAAGACAATTCAGGGCAGGACAGCAGGCAGAACACCGGGGTCATCAAACCACGTGTTACTTTTTCTAAATGTCTGCATAGGAATGCTTTTGACAACCTTGATACATTTTTGATATGCCTCCAATGTTTTTCATACTATGTGAGCTTATTAAAAATAATTCCCTTCAACTATACCACCAAATGCAATTTCCTGCTAACAATTAGGAACAGAAATACATTCAAAGTGAGCTTTCTGGACAATTACACTGGCAGAAAAGCAATTAAATCTTAGGAATAATGTACACATATGGTTATGTAAAACATAGCCTTTAATGCTGCTAGCTGAAGTTTATAATGCTGTTACTTCTATTATATAAATCACGGCTCTGCCTGGCAATGAAATATGCTGGATCTCTTAGAGAAATATTACCACATAACTTTCAATGGGGCTAAACTTACTACAGTGTCTTGTGATTAGACTTTTAATTAAATTTGGCTCAGATAATTGCTTTATAGCATATATGTTAAAATTACAAATTCTTCCAGACCCAAGTTCCCCATAACAATAACTATTTTGGGGTGTTCTATTACCTCAAACAAAGAAGAATTGCACTATATAAGCAGAAATTGCTCTGGGCCTCAATGAAATCCATACAGCCCTGTGATAATTGGCCTAAAGTATTGAAACAAGCCTTTTCATATATCAAAGGTCCTTCTGCTTATTCATCCCTAGAGAGTCAAAGTATTTACACTAAGAAATCACAGTATAAATGCATAGTAATGATTATATTTATATTAAGGTATTTTAAATAGCTGAATTAATCCCTGGGTTCATGTTTATATGACTGATGTATTCCCCATTTTCAACTTAACTTTATAGGTAATATTGACTATGTTACTACTGAAATAAATAAAACTTAAACATGTCAGCTAATATCAAGGCTAAGACCAGACACCATTTTCTAAGTCTTAGTACAATTTATGTACTGATTATGATTTTTCCAGACTGCCTTACTAAAAATTGCATTTATATTTTTAATGACGGGTGGTATAATCACTGAAAACATTTTGGGATTAAGTTGAATGTCATTTGAGGAAATTAATAATAAACACTAATACTACCCTCTTAACTTCCTTAACAGAAGAAGTTTACCCTTTAAATTTAATAGACATATTTATAAATTTGATAGTGAATACCCTCATATTAAAAGATATGTATAAGAAGAAAATTTCTCCAGAAAAACTCATTGATGTATGCAATGAACTTTTCTAGAATTTTAATTATTAAATATTAAAGTCAGTTTATGCTATAAAAACTGCACATTTTTATTAACTCATTTTTTATTAACTTATATTCTCTTTTCTCATTAAAAGATAAAGTATGAGATCCACCTACAAAGAGTGAATCTATCACTTGATTTGCATTTAGAGAAAGGCAGCACTCACTCTAATTCCAGAAAATTAAACCATAAAGGAAATTGTAAGGAAAACAAAAATTTGTAATCCTTCTAAAAGAAAATAAATTTTTTTAATATAAAGTCATCCCATTATCGTAGATGATTTCCACAACTTTTCAAAATCAAAGCCAGTGGAGTGGTTTTTACATTGCTCAAATCCAGTATTTATTAATTCAGAGTTAAGAACTAATATTTAATTTATTTATTCACTTAAGAGTGCAGTGGTGTGATCATAGCTCACTGCATGCAGCCTTGCCCAAATGGGCTCAAGTCATCCTCCTGCTTCATCATCCCAAAGTGCTGGGGTGACAGGTGTGAGCCACTATGCCTGGCCTATTTATTTCCTAATTCCAAAAGGCCTTTATTGACTTTCATGAGGAATGTGAAATATTAAATCCTGTTACACTGATATACCTTATGGTTGTCCCAACAGATCAATAATCATCAAATTAATCATTTATCTTAAGAACAGACTAATTTTAAAATGAGTTATTATAAAATAGTGTGTCCTGTGGCTTGAGCATCTCCACCAAAACTCATGTTGAAATTTAATTGCTGTTGTAGCCATATTTAAAGTGGGAGCCTTTGAGAGGTGATGAGGTAGTAAGGGCTGGGCCCTCCTGCAGGGATGAATGCTGTTTTGATGGGAGTGGGTTAGCTATACTGGGAGTGAGCTCCTGACAAAAGTGCAAGCTTGGCCCCATTTCCTCTCTCTGTCTCTACTGCACTTCCTCGCTGTGTGATGCTCTCACCTTGTGGACTCACCATATGCCAGTGTCATGCCCTTGGACTTCCCAGCCTCCAGAACTGTTAGGCAAATAAACTGTTCTTTATAAATAACCCAGTCTGTAATATTCTATCACAGCAGCAGAAACACCACCCTAAGATACCTGCATTCTAGATATTCTTTAATTTTTCTTCTTGCTCCTTTGAGGTAGTAAGACTATTTCTTACACAGGGTCTACAAGTGCTTATAGTTTGTACCACAAAAGTTCAATTCACTCCCAAGTAGTTAATGCAACCAAATAAACAGTGAAACACAAGAATTTCAGAGACATTAGATGTCAGATGTACAAAAATAGTGTCATCTCACAGGATATGCATTTCCCTCACTCCACTTCATCCCACCTTACTTTTGTTAAGTTACAGAGTTGTAGTGAAATGTCTATGATATCTACGGAATATACATTACTAAGCTTGATAGAGTGGCTACTGTGAAAAAGGACATAAATCATTTGTTTATGAATATTTTTCATTCTTCCACTTCCCCAGAAAGACACTTCTTTGATTTATTTTTGTTTCTGAGACAGAGTTTTACTCTTTCGCCCAGGCTAGTGTGAAGTGGCCTGATCTCACCTCACTGTAACCTCCACCCCACAACTTCAAACAATTCTCCTGCCTCACCCTCCTGAATAGCTGGGATTACAGACACGTGCCACCACGCCCAGCTAAGTTTTATATTTGTAGTAGAGACGGGGTTTCACCATGTTGGCCAGGCTGGTCTCAAACTTCTGACCTCAAGTGTTCACCTACTTTGGCCTCCCAAAGTGCTAGGATTACAGGCGGTATGAGCCACTGTGCCCAGCCTGACTTTGACCTCCTTCTGCTGCTGTTTTTCAGCTTCACAAATGTGAAGGAGGAGCTGAAGCAGCTGGGCAGATTCATTTAGTCTTTGTTGGGCACCTGAGACATGCAGGCTAAGGCTACTGGAGGCCAGAGTTTCCCAAAAGCAAATTTTGTACAGAGAATTAATAACAACAACAATAAACAGAAAGCTTAGTTGAAGGAAAAAGAAATTTTAAGAAATATTGTTAAGGACTTTGTGTCCTCTTCATTTTCAACAAGAACTAAAAATAAAGAACTTATTTTAAAATTACCTTTTGCCTCATGTGGTATGGCTTTTGAGACAGAGTTCTGACTACTTTAAAAATATTAAAGATAACTTACTGTAAAAATACTACTTTTTGCTGGTTTAGATAACTCACCATAATAATGTGGAACTCACTATTGGAAGTGAACTGCTTAAATGTTTGCATCATTTTCTGAAATCTGCAGTGATTTTTTACTTTAGATCAGAGCACTTCCTTGGTCTACCTCAAAGTTACTTTGGTATATTGCAAAATGACACACATTGTTCCCATCCGTGTGCACAAGCCCTTTTAAAATATGACTTTGCTTCTTTTCTATTAAAGGAGCGGCACAGTGTATTTCTTCATAACTTGGGTCTGGGCTGGCCCTGAGACTTGCTTTGACAAAGGGCACCTTAGCAAGTATGATGCAAGCAGAAGTTTGAAGTCTGTCATCCATTGCTGCTACAACCTTCCCACCCTGACCAGCCCACCACAGGAACAGAAATCCGGTGGGGAGGGGCTCCTACCTTCCTAACCATCCCATCTGAGGCCCTCACACCTAAGGAAGGTCATCCTGGACCACTCATCCCCAGTCAGACTCACTCAGATCAGAACAACCCAGGTAACACACACAGTCATGATGTTCTCTCAGCTACTAAACTTGGGTAGTTTGTTAGGCAGCAGAAGCTAACTGATACCCTCTCATTTTGTCTTTATTACATAGGACTTAATGAACGGTTTCGGGGAATAGCAAAGTCACCAAGTGAGCCAATAAGACATTCAGCTACAGCTTTACCTTCTCTTCTTACTTCAGAAACTTTAACCATGGACATCTGGCGTGCTGCTATCTCTGCTATAAGAATAGAAGGCACATCTCTTTCCTCAAATCACTGAAACCGAAATAAAACAAGTACCTAATGGTCTTTCCCGGGTCTGCCTCTATGATCCAGGTGCAGTGGAGGTTGTTGTCATAAGGAGCTGGATAGCCGGGGGACAATATTCGTCCTGATGTGGCTGCGTGGATTTGACCACCACATTCGGCTGCAGAATTCACAGAGAGATGGGAACGTTAAACCTTCAGGCACCATACGTTTCTCTTTAGCTATTTTTCAAAACCAGAGCCATTATGTCTGCATTACACACATAGAGAAAAAGAATCACATCATCTATGGCTCCTGATCATTTCTTTACTCCTTCCACATCATTAACTCTGTAGAAAGTCTTTATCCTCCATGCAATTAAAGTTGAGAGCATAAAGCAATAAGATACTCATGTGATAATTTTAATAATAACACTGTACCTAGAGTCTCCATAAAAGAAAACTAGAAATCTGTCTTTCATACCTGAAAACACACACCCACAGACACATGCAAATCTCAGAATACATAAAACTCACACTGGAAAGTGTGATTAAATTCCTCCTCTTTTCTAATAAAGGAAGTCAAAACAACACAGTGCGAGCACCCCAAGGCTCGGCTTCTGCACAACAGCCCGCCCGGCTTCCACACTCACCTACGCACGAAGGCAGCGGTTTGTCCCACACTCTCCTGTCTCCACTCAAACAGGTCAGCGTGTTGCTGCCATGCATGGCATACCCTGGGTTGCAACTGTACAGAACTACAGTGTCGGTGAAGTGGCCTTCATCACGGATCCTATAGCCATAGTTAGGGATACCTGGATCCTCACATTTCACCAGATCAAAACCTGCAAGAAAGGAAGGGAAGGAAGGAACAGAACTCAAGACAGGGTGTACATTTGCCTTAAAACAGAGACAAAACAAACAAGGTTGCTAAAGCTCCTTAAAGGTTAGGGAGAAAAAGGGAGATTGTGAATTTACAAAGAGGAAAGGAAAGATGGGTCTGTACTGGGGCTATTTGTTACGCATTTGTGATTTCTTAAGGTTCGATCACCTTATTTGTTCTTCCCTATTCACAAGCTCTTCTTTTCCAAAGAGCTCAACTTCACCTGCCTGACCAAGCCTGCAGTCTGCACACTGGATTCTCTGCTGAGCCCCAGTACCCTCTTATGAATGGGTTGCTCTGCTGCCTCTATGCCCCTCTCTGTCACAACCCAGACCTCCAAGGAAGAGCAGCCACCCACGGGCACCGCCAGGGTGCTCTGCAGAACCTGACAGCTGGCACTTATTCTATCCCATCCTCAAGAGGCGCCCACTTTCCCGACAGCTTCCTCCAAACTCCAAGGTTTCAACTTTATGGAAAAAGAAAAAGTTGTTCCTGCCCACAGAAACTGGGGGCTCCTGAATTACTGCCGACCACAGTCCTGATGGTGCATGGTTACGAGGCTCTTGAGGAAATCTACATACAACAGAAACTCCAGAAATGAATCATTATAATGACCTCATCAAAATAAGCTCTTAAACTCACAGAAATAGATGACGGAAATGAAGATTTAGCTTCTGCAGTACTGAGAGCTGTATATCGCTTTTATGATAGGCAATATTTTAAGGCCATCTGTGTAGACAGTCTTACAGGAACATATTTCTCTTCATATCATGATGCAAATTTTGACAATTGTAAGAAGGAGAGCTGGAAACTTGAGGGCCACATGGTCTGTTTACTTCTATTTCCACTTAACTTTGAATGCTTCCTTTTCTCAAAAAGAAATTAAATTTTAAAATGAATGTGTGACTTTTGCTAAGTCCTCCTGTCAAGTTGGAGTCTGAGATGCCTTCCATTGAGGAAAACATATTCTTAAATTCACAATATAATTTCACCCTGCTGATGTCTGAATAATCAAGACTGAGATTTGCAACTTGGTGTAGGAGAAAGAGTAGGTGCCTGATCCTTTACACTCAGTGGCTAAGAAAACCTTCCATAAGGTTTCCTTCTATAAAGAGTCACTCTTTACCAACTATAACGTTATTATTTTTACAATAACTCTGATCTATTTAAGAGACATCAACAATTTTAATTCAAGATTTCTGGAATTCAGGAGCTGAGGAGTATATCGATTTTGGTGCAAACCAAAGGAATGTCCCCAATGTCCTCAAAGGGGAGGCAGGAATTAGGGAGAAGGTTTCAATCATCTCCAGTTTCAGAATCATTCAAATATTTGATAATCTTCATCTGACTGCACAATGCCAAGAAAACAGGGCAGGAAAGAAGACATTCAACTGTCCCATCATATATGACAAAATCCATGATTATTACAGATTATTCAGGGCTCACTTGTTTTTACAGAGAGCAAAAACAAAAAAGAAACAAGAGTCTTTATTGTTGTTATTGTTGTAGTGTGTGTTACTGGGTTTGGGGGTTTGGAAGTGACAACATCTGAACAGTTCTTTAGAAAGCAGCCCTGTCCGAGACGGGGGATGACCACCAGCAAACGAGAGGCAGAATGACTTGCTGGCGGTGATGATTCTCCCTGACACACCTGGAGAGTACACCTCACTACTAACAACAAACATCCTCCAAAATGTTGCACCACCTGGAATTTACATTAGGCATGCTGCGTACCAAATGCCACTGGAACACAGAATTGGAAATATCCATTAGGCACAGAAAATCAGGTGTAAAAAATACAAAACAAAAGAATTCAGCACCTATCCCTATTATCAGTACCACGGGAACAGGATCCTGGGAAAATTTAAAGGTCTCTTTGAGGGGTGAGGGTTACCCACGCTAACAGGAAACACAGGTCCTGTCCATGAAGAAGGAAGCTGTGAAAGGCAGTGGGCCCAGGGGACAGCGGGATTCCGCACCCAGCACCCAGGAGGTGTCGACCTTAGCAAGCTACACTCACTGTCACCTGAGCTTCTCATTCTTCACGGTGCACGAGAAATCTAGATTTTCTTCTAAAGTTTATAAAAACGTTGTTGGATGAATACATATTCTGAAAGGGAAACTCACTGAGGTCCAGGATGAGATTATTGAAGCTGGCTATTAATAACATTGAAATAACTCACTGATTTATTAAGGTTTAAAAACTATATGTGTGCCTGGCATTACTGAGACTTGCCTACTGGCGGTGAAGTCTGGTGTCAGACTCAGAGTGCGGGAAGAGTTGGAATATTCCATGCAATGCTTCTAATTAAGCTCTGAAACACACACACATCTGCTGAGGATGATGGAAACCTGCACGAAGAAGTGGTCAAGGTGACCAGAGAGGCTGCGCAGCTTAATAAATGGGGTTAACATCAAGAAACCCATCAAGGGTGGAAACCATCCTAAGCAGAAAACTGTGTAATATACCTAACTTTGCAAATGTCTTAAGTTCACCTAGCCTACGATCAATGTGACTAGAGTTGGGCAGAATCATGTAGAGTTGGCCTAGAGTTGTGGCCTTACCTCTTGGCCTTGAGTTGGGCAAAATCATCTATCACAAAGCCAGCCTATTTTACAAGAAAGTGATAGTCCCCCCACTACTAATAACAAACAATGAATGTTGACATGAGATAGTCAACATTTTCTTTTCTTTTTTTTTTTAAGATGCAGTCTCACTCTGTGGCCCAGGCTAGAATGCAGTGGCATGAACCTTTGCCTCCTGGGTTCCAGTGATTCTCCTGCCTCAGCCTTCCTAGTAGCTGGGATTACAGGTGCATGCCACCAAACCTGGCGAATTTTTGTATTTTCAGTAGAGATGAGGTTTCACCCTGTTGGCCAGGCTGGACTCAAACTGCTGACCTCAAGTGATCTACCTGCCTCAGTCTCCCAAAGTGCTGGAATTATAAGCATGAGCCTGTAGGCTGTGAGCAGTCAACGCTTTCTTATAAAACAGGCTTTGTGCTAGATGATTTATGGTGATTTGTGCTGGTATTGAATACTGTGCGGGAAATGAAGAGCAGATGGTTGCGTGGGGACTCAAAGTATAGTTTCTACTGAATGCATATTGCTTTTACATCATTATAAAGTTGAAAAGTTTTAAGTTGAACCATCATAAGTTGTGGGCTTTCTGTGGTCATTTTGACAATAAATTATGTCCTGATTGTACAAAAGAGTTTGTCATAAAAAGATTTCTTTACTGGAGACATATGGTTATGTTGATGACATTGATTTTCCTATGGGACGTACAAACTGTTTCGATAGTTTATGGCCAGAAGCTCTACAGGTAGTGGATAGATACTAATTTTTTAAAGGTAATCCAGAATATATCTCTATGATCAGAATTAACGGCTTTTAAAGACTTCAATCAAAAACCTTAACAAAGTTCTAAAATCCAAAAATATTCTTATTTTAAAATGAGTTTGAAGAAATGTTTTCCTCTGCCCCAAAACCTGCATTAAAACTTTTTTTTTTTTTTTTTTTTTTTTTTTTTTTTTTTGGAGAAAGGTAGAAACATTACAAAACAAGCAAAGAAAAAAAGATGTATTCATTAAATGTCTACTACACTTCGTTTGCATTAGATTTTGTTATGGAAATACCCGTTTTAGTGCTTTTTCTATCATTCAATATCAAACCTTGTTTTTATTGTTTTGCACTGCTTAGGCTACATCTTGTCATGCAGATGAATTAGGCCAAGTTATTCATGGCAGGATGGTTTCTCTTTGTATGACCAGCTGTCTCCTTTTTCCTCTGATGCCCTCTCTTGTTTTTGCAGAAGATCTCTTAAGACCTTGACAACATTATGACGTTTATTATTTTGCAAAAAGTTCCACACCTGATTGCTAAACGCCTGAAGCCTCTAGGCTTACCCAATGTCTTTTTATGAAATACATTCCTCTTCCCTGTCAGAAAACTGAAAGTATTTGGCCATTCTAGAATTCAGTTTTCCAATTTTCAGTAGACTGAAGAGAGCTTTGTTCTCTTAAAGATCATGGCAGGATTTGATAGTTTACACACAGTTGCAGGGACAGTCATAGGCTTTTATACTGGGAAGTAGCATTGAAATCACACCCCTCAATACCTTATCCCTAGAAACCTGAAGCTTCTATTTCCTGTTACTTGCACCATGAAGAGTGCTGCCTCCACCCTTAAACTGTGACCTTTGCACCACAGAATGCCAGCACATCTGGGGATCTCAAAGGCAGCTGGCCTCCCATCTGGCGCTTCAGACCCTTTGACCCCTGGACCCTTACCTTACCCACATTCATTAGGATACAGCCTAGCCTGCTGTTTCTCTCTCTGCAAATTGTATGAGACACATTTCAACTGAGTTTCATTGGCGGTGTGTTTAAAGACTAGTATATAATCACTGTCTCCTAAAAAGTCAACACTGTTTTTAAATATTGGTAAAATTAGTTGACCTAATAGAAGAATTCTGAAAGGACAACATAAAATTCTATGATGTTGATTCTGCACTGTTTCAAAAGAGAATGTTTCCATGTTTTAAGAAATCTCAAGTTATTTAAAAGAGGTTATGTTTAATTCTACAAAAATATTCCTCTAAAAAGAGATATTTCCATTTTAATGTGAATTTAAGGGACTTTTGACTGATCAATTTTAAGCCTGCTGAAGGGTAATAAGAAAATATATAGAAAAGGTATCCTTTTCTCTCTTGAAGCCACTATCCTGCAATAAGTCAGGGTACAACTACTGGTTCTGTATTTTCTTTATGCTCTAGAAACTTTAAAAAAGTCTAAATCAAGTTCTTCGTGTCAAAACAAACACTATTGATACAATCAAAGTTTGAGTCTATTTAGTCATTCTATTTCTTTCTGTTTTCTTGTGATTTCGTCTTAAGTCATAAACACAGAAAAAATGCTGTGAACAAAATGTTCTAGTTAAAATAAGCTTCAAACATCCGGC